AATGTGCTGACAAAAACTGCGTGCATTTACATCTGAGAATACATACAACAACGAGCACCAATGTGAGCATATACTGCGACATCCAACAGTTTGTAAATATGTATGCACGGTTATTTTAGCTATACGTAAACACAAAAATCAACTATCTCGCTTACACTTTACATCTGTCTCCTAAATCAACACTGACGCGCCAGCGAAGGCCACATTGGGGCAACAAACGTTCCACAAATACGCAATTAAAAAATAGCTACCTGTTGTTTAGGATATGATTACCAAGTGCATACACGTGTCTAAGCAGAATGCGACATATCCAGTTGCAACCCGACTTTTTTTATTTTGATAATGACGCTGGGGTCGCGTTCACCTTGTCTCGTGGCACGCATCCATTTCATTAATGCTAACATAGACTTATCAAGTTTCAGCGCTTACTGACATAGACATAGTACATACGTCGCCGGCCATTGAACGAGGAAAAGAACACACTGTATCATTCCGACAGAAGCGACAACAGGATGCCCGGCAAATCTCATATGCAAGGGAAGTATTTTTCGATATTGTGTCGATATCACGCACAAGTCTGGACTGACCCGTCCTAATTGTGGAATATACAATGATTATAATAAACTGGAAATATTTTTGGTGGTGTCTATTTCATTACACTTTAATATTTAATTAATCAGAAATCAATCCACGATAAGTGGGTTCAACACTTATTGAATAAATTTATAATTAAACAAAATTTCAATAAATATCTCCTCCTAATGTTTACTATTGCTAACAACATCGGACTTGAATTGGGTTTGTAAGATTAACATGATTGCCTTATGCGGTGTTCAGTGATAGGCACAATTGCGTTCACACACGAGTTGCCTTATGCGGTGTTCAGTGATAGGCGCAATTGCGTTCACACACGAGAGGAAACGGTGGTTAGCACGAGCTGAGAAATGTCTAAATTTGTTGAGAATATACATTTTTTTTAAATAATTTTAACTGAGTAAGATTATTCAGTACAGTAATCAGGAAGATATACGTGTTATTAGTTATATGGTTATAACACAATTATACCGAAGCAAATTCAGAAAGTGTGCTCGCGTTAATTGTCATGTCGGAAATGGTATACCGAAATATTATAGTAAATTTTCCAAATGAACATTGAATACAATGGCGTTTTGGGTGCTTAGCTCGTGCTAAGCGTTCA